GGCACATCTGATGGTAGAATAGGTGCCGTGGCTGAACTGGGGACCTCCTGGTGCATTTTCTGTTTCCCAATCACCGGCGCTGGAGGTCACGCGCCGGCACACGCACCTCCGGCACGGCGCGTGGTCCTCCCAGACCACCCCCCAAGTCGGAATCCCCACCCCAGTCCACCTGTCAGGCGGGTGTACTGAGGAGGGGCCGGGAACCTGCAGATCTAGGGCGGCGGCGCTAGGGTTTCCACCTAGGGCCGCAGCCTGAAAGAGTGGCTTTGTGAGTGGCGTGAGGCCGGTTTTATCTTCTTCCATCAAATAAACCTTAAAATTAAAACATTGGATTCTAGGGAGAGAAGTTGCAGGTGATTTTCTACATGTTGAAGGGCCGGCTGTTTTTCCTCTTCATTTCCGTCGGAGAGATTGAGAGAAATTGACTGGCCGTCACCAACGGGATTTGGCAGACAACTGGAGGCGACTGGCTGGAGAAATTTCGTTGTACTATATTTTGTTTTCTCACTCTCTCCTTTGTTCTCTTTCGGTTTCTATTTCCTGTTATTTCTCACATTATCCTTTAGTAGAGAGAATATAAGCCTCTGAGTGGCATATAGATGACAAAAGACATAATTTTGACACCCGAGAAAAATGATGAAGTTGTTCAACTATACAAATTTCTCGTTCTGCAGCACATGATCGTTTAAAGAGTTATGAGTATACCATCAAGTCCATTATCAAAGGATACGAATATAAGAATTATATCAGAGTAGCAAAGTGGAGACATGTAAAAAAAAATAAGTAAGTGTAAATTTTGAGTATGATGTTTTCATAAAGAGACGAGATTACAACCCCTGAAAATCTTAGTATTGATTATCTATTTTCTTGTGTCCTCTCTTTGTGACAGTATTGGCAATGCCAAAAATCTTAGTATTGATTATCTATTTTCTTGTGTCGTTTCTCTTTGTACAATATTGGCAATGTCATAATTTAGTTTCAGTTTTTAGGCCAGGTATAATCATTGCTAGCTCATTTCGTGTATAACTAGCTGGCCGAAGCCTTGTCAACAGATCATTATCTTGAGTCATGCAGGACCATACTTGAAATAGGTGGGTCCAAAGGGAGTGGACTTGAGGAGGATTCCCAAGGTACTATAGAGTGGATTGCATTAGTGTCATGAGTTGTAGCTTTTAGACAAAATAGTGGCAATTCCATGAATAGTTGGTATCCGAGCTGGAGATCCCGAGTTCGACTCGATGTTGGAGCATTCCGAGTTGGTTGGTGGAAAATGCAGGTGCAGACTTTATATGGCGTGGGCCTAATGGAAGTGAGCTTGAGGTGAATTTCTGGGGCTTGATTCTAGGTAATATAGGGAGGATTGCATTAGTGCCATAAGCTGAGGCAATCAAATGCAGGTGCATTTTTGATTAGGTAAAAAATTTTGATTGAGAAAAAAAAAATAGACAGAAGACGCACCAAATGCCCTGG